TACCAGAGAAGTCTGGAAGTGCTCTTCCAGGCTGGTGGGGATGTGTCAGGGAGTTGTGTGCAGGGTATCTTATATGATGCTGATGTTCATAATGATCCATTTAAAATAAGCTGTGTGGGCTTGAATTTCTTCCATTTTCAAGCAGTATAAATTGAGAAAATCCTGAGAAAACCATAGGTTGTTTCTGTAGAACAGAGGATTAGGGAGGTCCCTATTTCAATTCCTTTTTCAATTTTGCATCAGGATTCCAGTGCAATGTGGTATAGAAAAGGGACACTTCATTAGGAAGCCCTTTGCGTAGTTAATTGCATCCCTAAAATAATACATTCCTTATGTGGAAAACTATGGTCTGATCTACTGTCAAGCACATGGAACCTTGTGAGTCCAAATGAAATAGCTTAATAGACTGTTACAGACAGACCTGTGAAAGTAGGTGGATTTTTCTGCTCAAGCTGCAGTAGTGTGGAGGGCAATGACTGAGTCCCAGTGGTTCTTGTCAAAATGAAGACTATTGCGTAATTCTGGGCCTGAATTTCCTTGCACTGCTGCTGCTTTTGCTCTGCAGTTTCTCCATTCACTTTCCCCAAGCTTTTAAGCAAATCAAATTTTAAAGCTGAACACTGCTGTCAGGTCTCCTGGCTGCTATTAGGAAGGAACTGTGTAAATGTCTGCTGAGTGTAAATCAGTGTAGTGCTGGGAGGGCAACCTGATTAGCTAAATCTGAAGTCCATTCGTGGTGCCATGTTCTGGCTGGCTGTGATCAATTCTACAGTTTTAAAGCCAACAGCAGAAAAAGGTTTCAAAAAGCTACTGGCAGAGTTCAGGGGCTCCAGCAAGCCTTCAGATTGAGAGCATAGTTCTGTAAACATGCTTTTGGAAGCATTTACAGGAACACTTTGTTCTAGATCTTGGAGCAACACAGTGTTCAAACTCATTCATAAACTGTTTCCCAACTTCCATCCGCCTTGCAGGCTTCCACCAGTCACTGAAATCTATATAATTTTAAGGATGGTTCTATTTTTAAAATAAAACCTGGTATATGAGCAGCTTTCAGCATGTGTCAGGAAGAGATAAGTCACCCAAAGCTATGATGGCCCACTAGGGTGCCTTAAGTGGAATCAAGCTCCTGTCTGCGCAGTCCTTATTAGGATCTTTCTCTCCCTTTCCCTCTCTCTCACTTCCTTTTGGCATTTGCTCTTTAAAGTGAACAGCACCTGAGCTGGCATCCTGAACCTCACCAGTCTTTGTGGAGTTCAAATTGAGTTCAAATGTTCTAATTAAAATGTGCTCTTCCTCTCTCCATCATTAGATAGATGCAAACAGACAACTGAAGCTTCCTGACTGGAAAAGATTGGTCAGTGGCCTTATATCCAAGGGATGAAAAATCCCCGCTGGGAAATATATCCTTATGCACACTGCTTGACTCAAGATATCTACTGAGTCAGAGCAGTATAGCAGCTATATGAAAACGTTAGCTATTCTTGCCATGATCTTCTGGGAAAGGATTTTGTCCTCCATAGTTGGTGTCTGGGTCCCTGAATCTCTGTTCAGATCTGATGTGTGTTCTTTGCCTCCAAGTACCTAGGATGGTGTGAGCACATTAACTTTCTGTTGGCTTTCCTTGGAATGATTTGTTCTTCCCATTGGAATAGTGCTGGGAACTGAAGGCTCAGAAAGAGAAACAGGAACTTTGTGAACAACCAACTGCCTGCTACAGCTGCTTTAAAAAAAATAAAGTTCTGACCCCCAGTCATACTGCACTTTCTCTACCCAGAATCATTTAATTCTTGACACTTGTGTTTCATTTTTTAAAAGAAATAACAGTCTCTGATGTCCCAGGTTGGCTTTAGAATGGGGAATGAAAATCTATTTCCTTCATAAACAAAAGCCAAATACATAGAAATCTTCTTGGTGCTTTTTTTTAAAGGCAAAATGCAATAGTTCTGCTATGGGCAGTGCTTGCCCTGGCATTTTTCGGGAAATGATGGCTGCAGCTGCTTGGATCTGAACCTTAGATCCATTCAGAATCCACTTCAGACTCAGCTTGTGCTGTTCCTATTTCCTCATTTCTTCCTTTTTCATGAGAAACATGACTACAAACCTGGTTGATAGATGGGCAAATTCTAGCCCAAGCTCTTCTCACACTTTAAGCTACTTAGGGGAGAAAGATCTCCTGTCGGTAGGAAGCACAGAGGAGCTGTTTTACATCAAACTCAAGAGGTGTTTAAATAGCTCTAATCTCAGGCCTGAATTTCCTGTTTGCCCCTTAACCCATGCAATATAATCCCCATCATGGCTAATGTACCAAGGCTGATCAGAGATCACTCAGGCTCCAAGCCTGTACTGCTACAAATTTGTAGAAAGAAGCCTATCTTCATCACCAATATCTGTAAATCTTTGTCACTTCTAAAGAGGGAAAGAGAAATGATGCTGAAGACCACCCTTTCTCAAGACATTACTGTACCCTTTGCAGAACCTGATTCATTCCTTCCCTGACAACTCTTGTGCTTAGATAATTGCTTGGCCCTGGCTCCAAGTGCTGATTATTTTGGTGGAAGCCAGTCTCTGATAGGAGCTCCCAATGCCCCTCAGCTCCTTCTGCCTTTTTCATGCTAACTCAAGAATTTCAACAACAAAAAAACACCAAATCATCAAATTGTTCTTTTCATAACCAAGAGCATGGCAAATTGGCTGTGTTTTCTTCAGGAATGGAGCTGCCCAAAATCAGTGTGGAAGAGCAGTTCCCCATGAAAGCTTCCCTCCCAGTCTCTGATGCAACCCACCACTGAAGAACTAGACTCATTTGCCTGCATACACAGCCTGCAAATCCTTTTTCCTGCAGTAGTAACGTTGTTGAGGCTGTGATGAAAGGATATAGGCCAGTCAAAGTTTGTAGAAGGAGATAACATCTCTTATTAGAGTAGCTAATACTGTTGGAAAAAGCAGACACGCTTTTGGAAGCAATATTATCCTTTATTATCTCACTGTTCACTCTCCCCTGTGACCTCCCTACCATCCTTCTTCTGAAACAATAAATACTTACAAAGTGGAAGGAAACCTGACCCTCTGGGGCAGGTAAGAGACAAAGGCTTATGTCTGACTCCTGATCCCTGTACCTCTCCCATTTGTATTGGTAAGAAATCTCCCAATGCTCAAGGGCTTTAAGTGGCCTCTGACTACCCCTCTGTTCTGTGCCAGAAAAAACAACAATGAGCAAACTCGCTTGTAGTGGCGTCAGTAATGATCATTTCTGATGAGGGTCCCTTGTCTGGCCTCATTGTGCCCCTCTGTCAGCACCTCTTGGGTCACTGACAGCCCATTGGCAGCTGGAAATTATAGACTGGTAATGTGTTTAACATATTATGGAGCGCTGGTAGAGGATGTATGGGGAAAATCTGGATTATGGTTACTAATGCAATGGAAAAGGTTTCTCTGGGGTCGCTGTAGGATCTCCTTTGCCAAAAGTGTGCCCAGGCAATCAGGAAGGCTAAACATATTCTGGGCTGTGTAAAGTGTGCCAGCTGAGTGAGGAAAGGGATTGTCTTACTCTATATTGCGTGGCCTCACCTTGAGTACTCTGTGCAGTTTTGGACTCTTCAGCATAAAACTATTAGTATCCAAAGGAAGACTACAAAGATAGTTAAGGATTTGGAGGACAAGGTGTGTGAGGAGCAGCTGGGGTCCCTGGGTTTGTTGAACCTAGAGGAGGGGAGCATTCATGGCAGCTGCAGCTCCTCGTGGGGGGTGGATGGGCAGTGCTGAACTCTGCTCTCTGATGACAGTAACAGGGCTGGAGGGAACAAGGTGGAGCTGTGTCAGGAGAGTGTCAGGTGGGGGTTAGGAACAGGTTCTTCAGTGGAGGGCAGTGGGCATGGACCCAACTGCTGGAGTTCAAGAGAAGTTCAGACAATGCTATCAGATGCAGTTTGACTTTTGGTTGGTCCAGTGTGGAGCCAGGAGTCGGACTCAATGATCCTTGTGGTCCTTTCCAACTGGGAAGTATTTTGCGATTCTATGATTCTGTAAAAGTAATCAAAAGATTAGAGAAATGTTTGTCAGAAATGGCTTTACTGATGAATACTTTGCTGTGCCTAGGGACAGGGAGATGGACCAAGTCAAGGTGTTGTCAGCTTCCTTTATGTAAATCCATTTTCATTTCAAGGCTGTCAGCTTCCCAGCCATCTCTTTGCAAGCTGGTCTCAGCTCTGAGATCTTTTGCTCCCAGCAGGAAGATCAAGGACCTGATCTCAGTGCTAACTGAAAGCCTGCATGCTTTCTGCTGGGGTGTTCAGTAGAGAAAAGAATTACTGGGTGAAGAAGTATCATGTAACCTAACCAAGTGTCTTTGGGTCTTCCTATGATCCTGGCCAAAGTGAGGCATCTATTCTGGGACAATGTAGCCACCAAGCCACCTCCCAGAAGAATAGAGAAGGAGAAGAATGTCATGCTGGCCGTGATCCCTTCTCTCCTGATGGCAGCTTTTCAGCAGTGGGTCCCAGTGCAACATCTTAAGAGAGATAACAATTGAGGTTGCTGGGATCGTAATGTGGGTTTCAGCAACATTTTTCAATACCACCAGGAGAGAATGATAGAGATCAGGCTTGAGAAATTTGCTTAGGCTGGGAACAACACCTCCAGGGGTGGTGCAGCCTGAGGTGACAGCGGGAAAGCAAGTGATGAAAATCCATGAGGATTCTGAGAGTGGAGAACATACTTATTTCATATTGATAGGGAGTAAGGAGCTGCCAAACTTACTCACTGCAGGGTTTTAGCTGCCTGAATAACCATATGCCATGTAACTTCGGTGTTATTTCATAGCTCAGTAATAGCTTCCATGCTCTGAGTGTTGCTCAGGACAGAAATGACCGCAGATCTCTGTTCAAATCAAGAAATATTGATCCATTTCAGGAGCCAGGGATAGCGTATATACACACAGACAGGCCACCCAGCTCTTGTTTTTAAATGAAGATAGCCATCATAAGCATTTTTTTCTTCTCTAGAGAGTATTCTGAACTGGCTGGAAGCTTTTGGAAGAAGGATTTTTTGGGAAGGAGGTAAGGAATTAGGAAGAGAAAGAGTGACAGTGAGGTTGTGAAAACATGTCAATTTAAACATAAATTTGTTTTCAGTTTTTTTAGCACTGTTGTTCTGATTCATATCAGTTGTTTGATTATATTACAAATCTAAATTAATTTCATATTAATATTTTAAGTCATGTTGGTGTTATTTAAGCTGTATTATGTTTTCCAAAAAAAACCCCAAACAGCTACCTGCCCTCCCTTGGGAAGTTACTGCTACCCTGAGTTCTTTCAGTCAGCGGTTTCAATTCCTTTTGAGTTAACTCATATGTCCAGCTTTCTAGAGCAATGAGTTTTGAACGGCTTGTTTCCCTGCCAGCAGGCACTGCTCAGGTTATAAAACTCAAGTCCTATTTGGTCCTTCATTAGCTAAGTCTCATAGTGCTTTTCATGAAGGAGATGGGTTTCACCAGGACCTGTCATCCCACAGGTCTCTGGAAGTGAGCAGATGCTGTTTGTAAAAGGCTTTTTAATAAGAAGCTAATCCACAAGAGAAAAGTAAAATTAAAAAATAATAGAAGAAAAGAGGGCAGAATAAGAGGAAACAATTTTCCATCCAACGTGTGAACAAGCTACAAAGCTTATTTCCTATAATATTGTTGACAAAAATAAAAAAATAAAAAATAGGCAAGGTCCTAGTAGGAATGATATTCCGTATAGACAACAAGCATATCCACAGTTATAAAAAATAACTGGCAATATTGCTTTAAAAAGTCATTGAAAACTCTGGTTTCAGACTCAGAGCATTCAGATGGCTGAGGACATTTATTTTTTTACTTTGCAGGGTACCTTTCCTAAAAGCACTGGTGTCTGCTAGCTACTGTCGGAAAAGGAGGAACCACTCTGCATGGGCTATCTTTTACTGTGCTGTACTGTCCTTAGTCTGTACTCTCACTCTCTAAACTGAGCAGGCATTGAAATATATTGCTTAATATTATTCAGAAAGGAGTTGATAAATCTGTAGATTAAAAAAAAAAATACCCTGAATCACACTGAAAAAGAAGCCAAAAGCTTTTATTTCAGAGTTGTTATTCTACACTAGATAAATCAAAATCTTCCTATATGTACGCTGTTGTGGAGCGGAAGACTCCCTAGGAGTCTCACAGATGGTCTGCATATTTGGGGTACCCAGTGGCTAACTCTCTTTCCTGTATAAGGGCAGAGCAATTGTACAAGGGCCAGATTAAGATTAGGACATGATTGGCTGAAGGATGACTTCATTTTTTTAATGTCATTCCCCAAACTTCAGAGAACATAACGGAAACAATAATTTGTTTCCATGAGCATTAGCCCATAAATTGTGATCAAAATCACCTTCAGGGTGTTCCAGCCTAATCTTCAAGCCAATTCTGCACGTTCCTTATCACAGAATGGTTGTGGTGAAGGGCCTTTATATTATATTATCTCTGATGTCATCTGGTTGGCCTAATTGAAGATGACTGGGTCTCTGATCTATTGAGACTACACTTCTCTGTCTTCACACCTCTCTTGGCCACAGTAGCTGCTAAGAAGAGCTCAAGGGAACACTGATATTCTTGACTGCCAGCCCAAACATCTCAGCTGGAAGGAAGACAATTTCCCAAGTGATATCCCTTCCCCCATGAAGGCTTTTGGCAGTTACCTTGCTGCCATCTCCCGTCACAAACATCTGGCTGTAAGATCAGACAGCAGCAGAGCCTTCTGACCCCTGATCCTGGCTGACCTTTCCCTACCCTTAAGAAGGGGGGCTGCTGTTGTGTTCTGAACTCTCAGTGGCCTCCAGATTGTTCCCACGACCATCCTCCCACCTGGTGCTGGCAGCCTCAGGCTGGCAGCCCTGGGTGCAAGGTCAGGGATGAGAGAGGAACTCACAAGGCAGCCTTCTCTCCAGGGTGCTCCAGGATCTTCTCTGTGCATGTGGGCAGGAGCAGTACCCAATGGCCATTGTGCTGCAGCCAGGCTGTCACCAGGTCTCCTGACCCTGCCAAAACATCGTCATCCACTTAACTCTTTAGGGTGTAAAGGTGACATCAGACCCAACTTTGCTCTTGGTGATGGTGATGAAAAGCTAGAACAGTGGTACTAAAGCCATGATCCATTCCTGTGCAACCAGGATATAGGGTTTGCACATCTGTGCTGGCATCCTTGCCATAGAGAAACTTCTGGCTTTGTATCCCCACAGAAAAACAAGAAACAAATTCCATTGTCTGTTTCTGCTCTCAGATGAGCTGTGTTTAAGAAATTATGCATCAGAAAAAAAAAAAAAAAAAAAAAAAAAAAATAAAGTCTGCTCCTAGTCCTAGCCATGGAGTTTTCTCCAGAGCCCTTCTCACTGTGTGCTCTACACCTCCCCCTCCTCCTCCCTGTGTTAGCTGGAGTCCATCTGCTCCATCACTGCAGCTCAGTGAATCTCACGTCATTCCCATCTCAGCTAGAGATGTGCCTGAGCTGCAGGCTGTTGGATGGAGATGCCTCTGTTTGTTTCCCAATGTGGGAGGAGGGGATGAATCTTCTCAACTTTGCCCCAGTTCCTTAAAAAAAAAAAAAAGCTGACAGTGAGAGGTGACTGTGGCAGTGGACCTGGTGATGGCTAGCTTGGCCAGGTGCCCCTCACCCTGCTCTGCTGTGCAGCCCTGTTGGGCTCTGTCCCTGCTTCCCACGGCAATAGGCTATTGTGTCAGACCTGGGTAGCTGTGACATCATTGCTGCTATGGTTCCATCACCAAAGGGCAGTCACAGTCAAGACAGCTCTCCTCCATCCCTGCCAGGATGGTGCAGGCAGGGCAGCCTATTTGCTGTCTTTACTGCCAGCACTGCTTAGGGTGTGATGAGACAGATAGACAGGCAGCCTCCAGGGAAAAGGAAGGTAAGTGACCATAGGACAGGACAGATGGATCCCTGAGGTTGCAGCTCAAGGGATGGAGGTGGGTGAGGCGGTAACCACACTCCCTAGTTGCACTAGAGATTGTATGCACAGGGCATGGTGTCCCCCCCAGGGCTCTAATATAGGGAATCCACTTCTCTGCCTACTCTGGTAGATCCTGCTTGCAAGAGGGCATGAAATGGAAGGAGAAAGCAATCCAGAGTGTCCAAGAAATGGCTGTGAAGCAGATGTCTGGGGATCATTATGAGAACACGCTCAATCTTCCTGGAGCAGCTGAAAGCTTTACTGCCAACAGCACTTGGCTGCCAGTCTCCCATTGCTGTACAAATGATGATAATGCTTTTTGCTACTTCTTCTCCACACGTTCTCCTCCTCCCCTGGGAGTAGGCTCTCCTTGGCAGCCACAGGGTTCTTGTTACATGTGAAGTGCTGTTGGCAGCAAGGGCTGGGATTGAACAGAGGAAGGCAGACAGTAAGGTCCCTCTGCAAGCTAATAACCACCAGTACCCTTGCTGCAGTGTTCTGTGCTTATTGCAGAGCTTCTCCAGCTGCCTTTAAAAGGCAGCACTTTCTATTCACAAGCTTTAATTAGGGGCTGGAGCGTCAGAAGCATTTTGCTTGTAGAAAAGTAGCAATGAGTCTCTTTCCTTGCAGTAGTACTGGCCGGAATCCTGCAGCTGAGTCCCTGGCACAAAAAAGCCAGGAGGCAGCTGCTCTCTGACATGGTCTATCATTTGTCCTTGCAGGCAGCACTGTCCTGCAGCCCCCTGGTGGTTACTCAAGGTCTGTCTCAGCTTTGTGCAAAGCGTCTCTACTCCAGGGTTTAATCTGCTTTGGTGGCGTTTAGCAGTTACTCAAGAGTTGACAACAGCAGCTCCAAGGAGCCCTTCCTGCACTGTTTCCCTGCTGATGAAGGGCTGTCTGTCCAGCACTGCAAGATATTCCCAACAACGCACTGAGCAATAGGAACACAAACCCAGCAAGTAAAGCCTTTTCAGCCATGGAAATACTCTTTAGTGCCAAATAATAATGCAGAGCTCTTGTCCTATTGTACCTCTTTTGTGGAGTTACAGAGACACCCCAAGTGCCCTGGGTGTTCATTTGTCCCTGCAGCAGTAGTGTTTCTGTACCTGACTAATGTATGAAAACAGCTTTTCCACCTAGAGTTTCAGGCTGAAATGCTTGTAATTCGGGCCTGCAACTTGACAAATGATAGCAACAAATAATCAAACACCCTAGCCTTATGTCTGGCAGACCTAGCCCAGTCTGAATGAACCAGGGGTTCATAGACAGCACCTCTGGAGATATTTCCTTTGGCGAGAGAAATTATAAAAGTATGTACCCTCACTTGTAGATGACAGGGAGCTATTCCGACTCACAGATGTTCCAGTTTTGCCATGTTTTTGGATTAAGAATCCTCATCCTTCTCCAGAAATATTTAGTGCTTATACAGAGGTTCTGCAGTGCATGTGTGAGAGCTCTAAATTCAGCCCTACTGCATACATGTATCAACCTTGGAGCTGCTGAGCAGAAATCCAGCAGACTCACTGTACAGATAGCAAAATAACAGTGAGTCAGACTGAAGGCAAGCCTCGAGATTTCTTCCTGCAGAACCCTACTTCTTCAGGCGCCCATGGGACCTTTCTCAGGGATTTTCTTCCATTAGCTACACAGGCCTGTAAACTGGGCCTCTGATTCCTTGTGGGACGCAGGATTGTTGGATTTCAGTAGACTCTGGCATGAGTAAAAGGCAAGAGATCACTCTTCTGACTTATTCAGAAATGAGAAGCAGGCACAAGCAGACCTGCACCAGCCAGGAAATATTTCTCTGGAAATCTCCCCATGCCTTTCTGGTGAGATTAGTAACAGCACAGAACTGTTCTGAATGCAGATGCCCATTTATATTTAGCAATTTTCAAGCACTGAGAATGTGTGGAAAGCTTCATTGACCACAGAGAAAAACCGACTCAATGCAATTACTGCACTTCCTTCAGATCAAATAGGTGTAACATAGCAAAAAGATAAACCCTGTACCAAAACATTTCTTAAAGAAGCTTTATTACAGCTAAGCCCAGTTCCCAGGGGCCTTTCATGTTCTTTGTATTATCAAGTCATGGATTGACCTAGCCAAAACACATTTGTACTCTAGAACTGTGTTTCTTCACTTTTGTTGTTTCCTAAATCTCCTTAATAAAAGTTCTGAAAGGGCTGGCAGGAGAACATGGGAGAAGAAAGCCAAGCGCAGCATTCCTGCACAGCTCCCTCTTCACACAGGGACGTAGAGACTCAGGCTGAAGGTCTGGCTTAAACCAGCTGACCCTGACAGACTAAGAGCTGTTCAGCCAAAGATCTGCCACACCTCATGCTCCTTTCTCCCCACTGCTCTGCTCTCCCCCTGCCGAGCCCATCCTTTGTGAGCACTCGCTAGGTTCTGAGGTATAAAAAAAAATGTATTTTCTGTTGAAATCTTGGAAGTGTCTCAGTTCTGAAAATCTTAGTATAGTTTAGCTTGCACTGAGATTGCAGTTAAGGAAGAACCAGCTTCTTAGTGGTGGTGATGCTGATTGGAGGATTATTTCTGGGTTTTTCCTCATAGACAAAATAAGCAATCTAGATATTCAGTGGGAAATTTTTCATTAATGAAAACAGGTTGTCTAATTTGGCCAAAAGTCAACTCTCTGCTGATCTGACAAGCTTTGAAGCCCCATAGGAGCAACAGCCGGAATGCTTCAGGATGCTCCTCTCCTGAGTAAGCTGTGACATACAGCTGGATATCTCAGGTTGGATATGAGCAACATTTTTTTCTCAGAAAGTATGGTGAGGTATTGGTACAGGCTGCCCAGGGAGGTGGTGGAGTCACCATTCCCAAAGATGTTAAAGGAAAAGGTAGATGTGGCACTGAAGGACATGGTTAGTGGGCATGGTAGGGGTAGGCTGATGGCTGGATAACATGATTTTTGTGGTCTTCTTCAACCGTAACAATTCTGTGATGTTATGATTTTGTGGACCACTGTTATGTGTGTGGTGTGGGAACATGGATCACCTGCTCCACTTAATCTTTACCTTTTCCTAATGCGTTCTCCTCACTGTATTTGGGAAAGCTGAGATCACCAACAGAT